AATTGACCAAAAATCGTCAATTTAAAACCAGCCCCCCCCCCCGCCACCCTTTAATCAAGTTTGTGGTTGTCTCCCCAGAGTCCGGTGAACCTGGGAGTGGTCAGTGCGATGACCAGGGCCCTCCTGGAGCGGGCCAAGCAGGTGTGTGATTGGCGCGTGTCGATGTGCGCGCTGAGCATGCCGGAGCTGATCACGCACAAGCTCAAGGTCGTGGTGGAGACAGACAGAAATAGCTCGCGTGTTTATCCCATCATGAGCGTCTCGGTGAGTCTATTTTTTTCCCCCTTCCACTTATGTACCTTAATGTTGGAATTAATTTTAAAGTTCCCACGTGGGTGGTTGGCGGGTGCTCTGGTATGGTTTGCTTCTTCTTTCCATTCAAACATCTATCATCTTATCTCCCCTCCTTCTTTTTTACGTTTGTTACTCTCTTGTAACACCTCTAATCTTCTGGCGCTCATATGACCTTATGCAGTTGCGAGCACCGTAAAACCTCTACTAAAATAAAAAAATAAAAAACATCTATCGTCTTTATCTATCCTCCTTCTTTTTTGTATTTGTTACTCTCTTGTAACACATCTAATGACCTTATTGTGTTGCAAGTGCCGTCAAACTCTTACTAAAACTAAAACTAAGCTAAAAGTTCCCTTGAGCTTTGAATGTGGAGCGGGTGGTTGGAGGGCGCCACTGGCAGGTCCTACTTCTTTAGTTTCCCTCTTTTCATTTCTGTCTGTCTGTCGTACCTTTTCTCAGCACTAAATGACCATTATTGTGTCGATGTGCTTCTCTTTACTCAAACAAATTTGGATGTGGATTTTTAAAGTGAAAAATTAATCCAGCTCCTTTTTTTCTTCTTCTAATGCCAGATCTGAAACAAGACCTGTATGCTCCTTCTTTCCTAGCAAACATCTATTGTCCTGATCTCTCCTCCTTCTTTTTTGTGTTTGTTACTCTCTTGTAACACCTCTGTTCTTCGACACTTATATGACCTTATTGTGTTGCAAGTGCCATAAAACTCTTACTAAAACTAAGACCTGTATGCGTATGATCTACATTGTATGCAAATCATTTCTCTGTATGGATGCTATAAAAAAAAAAAAGCCGAATTCTGATTTGAGAAATAAATTCTTGGCTATAAAACTTCTTGGCACTTACATGAGTAAAATTGAGTCCCCACCCACCTACCCCCACCCCTCAACACACACTTTCTCACACATGCCTCTTTCCCACAAATCTCCAAACCTTTCCCCTCCCCTCCTCCCCCCTTTCCCC